AAAGAGAAAAAAGCATAATTTTATTACACAATGGATGATCTGACTAGAGTTTTAGATAGGCTCTATGTTCATACTAAAGTGGAAAGAGATTTTAGTTAGGAAAATGTCATTTTCATGGCCAAACGTTTCACTTTCTAAATGTCTTTCCATCTAATTAAGATAGTGCTCAACTTACTGCTGTTTGAAATATACAAACACCCAAGTCACCCTCCTTTTTATTTGTGTGTATATATATAGGGCCTGGTTCAAGTGCAATAGACCCCTCTTATGCGGTCATGCAACCGTCTCATGGTGCATTTAATAGTGGATGCACCACCAAGTATATCTAAATGCACAACATACCAAGTATATTTAAAATGTCACAACTGTACCAACAGTTGTCGATGCACCACATACCACTACTAAGTACAACACAAATCGTTCCTAAGTGCATTACAGACCAATCCTAAGTACACCACGAGATAGCCGCACAACCACACGGGAGGGGTCTCCTTACACACACACATAGTGTTTTTTATATGACGAGAAAAACTTTCAACCACTATCCAAGAGTGTGCACATGGTAAACTTATACATATACATCATGTTTAATGACAATAGAATTTATTAGGAAAATGGTCAAATATGTCCTTAAACTTTACACGAGGAAGCATTTACACTCCTGAACTTTTAAAATTGCAATTAAACACTCTAACTTGTTATTTTTGTGTATTTAGACCCAATAACCAGTTAATAAAACTTCGGCAATGAAATCGGCCAACTATTGTCCTTAAAGAAGGCAACCGGAGTTGTCACCTTCACTAGAGAAGGCGTCTACTAGTTGCCTTCTCACTTCTCGATGAAGGCGACCAGTCTGGTCGACTAACAGTTGATTTGGTTGGCTTCTTGTGAATAGTGGTGGCCAATGGCAATCATCGGTAATCAACGACGACCTGCATCATAATTTTACTGATAACCTATTGGTTACTGGTAAATTGAACTTATTTGACCAATTTTAGTAAGTTAGAGTGTTTAATTGCAACTTTTAAAAGTTTATGGGTCTAATTGCTTTCTCGTGTAAAGTTCAATGGCCTATTTGGCCCTTTTACCATACATTTATAATGGTAATTTTTTTAAATGGTCAAATAGACCCTCAAACTCTATACAAAAGTGCAATTACGCTCATAAACTTTTGAAAAGTGTAATTAAACACTTCAACTTGTCATTTTGGTGCATTTAGTGACTAGTAATAATAGACCATTAGGGTTTCGACGATGCTCGTGGGAAAAATCAGATGCCGATTTTTTGTGAATGACAATAGTCAGCGGATAACATGCTTATCAGTTATCAGTAACATGTTAGTTACCAGTAAATTGAATTTATTTGACTGATTCTAATAAGTTGAAATGTTTAATTCCACATTTCAAAAGTTTATGGGCCTAATTGCATTTTCGTGTAAAGTTGAAGGGCCTAGGCTCGATCCCACAACCTCCCTTATAAGGGAGCAACTTGGTGTCATTGGGCTACAAGGTCCTTGGCATATGATATGTCTTTATGAGTGCTAAAATTAAGGGTTTGATAATAGAGACATGATTTGCTTATAATTATTAGGAAGTCATTTTTATTTACTAGTGACAGATAATTGGACAAGGCACCGTACCTGATTCGATGCTCTTGGTTTAACCCGTTAGAGTAGTGGAGATGGTCAAATAAGTAACGGTCAGAGTCAAAGGAGGCGGAACAATGCATTTATTAAGAGCATTGCATCATCAAATAGCTGGCTTATGAGGAGAGCGCCTCAATTACTATGGAGCAGATCAGATACACTTATTGAGAGGAGCTGTTGTAGTTATTAGGTAGCCTTGTAACCGTTAGTTGCGCTACTGCCTATTATAAAACTTGACCCCATATGGCAAGAGGAGGGGGGGGGGGGGGGGGGGGGGGGGGACACTAAAACTTGTATCCAGGCACACCGCGTAGTACAATTCTATTAATTACTTTCTAAATATATGCCGATAACATATTTACCGTCAACTAATATATCTATATACTTGCAAGGTATTCATCAAGGCTTAATGCATGAAAATAATATCATAGGATTGTTTAGTCTCTCTCGTCTATAAATCTCACATCTCTCACTCCCTTTCTCTATCTCTTCTGCGACTATGTTACATTCACTATTTTCCACCCTAATCTATTCTTTCTAATAAGAGTTTGTTTCGACTCAAACAAAATTTTGTTGATACCATTACTCCATTAGTGTATCAATATAAATATATAATTCACAACTAGCTAATTTGAACATTAGGAAGCAATTTTTTATTTTACATACAATAACTTTTTCTTTTTAATAATACCATGAAATGTTAAAGAGTTATTTTAATTGAAGAAAATAATGATATTTTTCTTTTGCATTTATATGTATAAACTTGATGTGAGTCTTATTGTGCATAATTCTAGTGTTAGTTTGAATATATTTGTTGTGTCTAAATTCATGAATTTGATAATTTAATTGCATAATCCCTTGTTTTATCATTTAGGTATGGTTTACACTTGTTTTGAATGTGTTATGGTATTTGTTAGTGTTTTGAAAACATTGTAGGTAAAGAGCAAAGACAAGGGAAGTTCTAGGACAAATTTGGAGTCAAAATGGACCGAAGGACGCGTACACAACAAGTTCGACGCGTCGAGCCCTTCCAAAAATTCCAGAGACGAGTCCGAGAGGCCAGCAGAGGTCTCGACGCGTCGAGCGGTTACAGCAGCTACACGAAGAAACGACGCCTCTTTCGACGTCGGATTCGACACGTCGAACTTTTCCAGTAAGCTTCGAAGAATTGGACGCCACGGCTCGACGCGTCGAGCGGGCGAGAGGCCCAGGAGCGATTTTGGCCCGTTTGCGCAAAAATTTCCTATTCTTTCCGGGATTGGTACCTGCTATAAAATCTCACTTTTCACAACCCTAAGGGCATTCAGATATCTTTAGAGACAAGAAAGAGGAGAAATCAAGAACTACAAGTTATTTTGAAAAGCAAGAAAAAAATTAGGAAGCTTTGATAAAATCAATTGGTTCATACCCTCTTTGATAAAAACTGAAATTGGACACGAGTTCTTAGAAGTTGTTGTGGTTGCCTAATTTAACCAATGCATGAAAATATAAGTTAAGAATTAAAGTTGCACACATACATCACATCAAATGTACTTTTACTGAAGTATCTTTTGATATTACTTACTAATTTGGCATAAAAGCAAGATGCATGCATCAATCAAGAACATTATATATATATATATATATATATATATATATATATATATATACACACACACACACACTTTATAACTAATCATCCTCTTAATGTATGTTAGGACAAAACTACTAGGTTAAAAACAGGTTGATAAAAGAGTTATCAACCAATTTGTCAAAATTATTTGACAATTGAAATGCGTTAGCTTGGACGCAAAAGATTTGGGTTTGAGCCAAATAAATGTAGATATTTTAAAATTTATGAGTGTTTTTACTTTTAAAGTTCTATCCAATACGAATATAATTAATTTTTATGCATAGATTAACAGACTAAGCGATCAAATTTATTGTTAAAAAACTAAAATTGTATTTACATTTTTATAAATTGTATTAAAAATTATATATTAGTGGAACTTATGTAAGCAAGAGAAGAATTATTCAATATTGGATATAAAAAATTCTCCAATAATCTTAAAGGAATCCATCACGGCTTAGCTGGCGGGAATCTTGCCTAACAAACCGTGAAAAATCCTTTATTAAGAGCATCAATATCAGTGTAAGAGGAAAGAAAAAAAAACAAAACTATTTAATAATAATAATAATAATAATAAATGTTATTTGTCAGCGTGCACTGCACGCGCCCGCTGGGTGCACATCTGAAGCCCACGCGTAAGTTGAACGGTTGGGGCTTTTTGAGGTGAGACCCATTTTGCTGCAATAACTTCATCCCTTGCAGATGCTCCCCACTTTTCTCTTTCATATCTCTCTCTACTCCATCGTATGACTTACTTTTTCTTAGAATTTGTGCATTATGCACTACAGTGGATGCTCTAATATCGAAAGAAACTTCCTACCGATAAATACAAACAAAATTCATTAACCAAATATTAGACGAATCCTATATAAAATTCTCTTTAACTTGAATTAACTTTTCGTCTCGTCAATGTCTTTGGATGACTAATGCTTAGCATGACCCATCAACCGTAAAGTGTCACACAATATGTGTGAACCTTACATATCTAATATCCGATAAAGATTATACACTTCATATTGAATACGCATTTATAATAGTATTATATGACAATAAGATTGATGAAGTATCAATTAATGCAAAAACAGCCAATTGAAAAGCAAGAGTCATGCTTTTAATCCTCCAAGCTACCAACAAATGAACTATATACCATTTGATCTCCCGGCACGGCTGGCCCGTCAAAAGTCCGGTTTCTTCGCAAACGAAGTTGGGGCCCAGCTAACGCGTGAAACACTCCGCCTGGGGAGTACGGTCGCAAGACAAATGTATAACTTCCCAGAAATTTCAATTGCGCTCATATTGTTCTGGTGTGGATGACAAGTAGGCCTATATTTTTTTATTTTGAATGACAAAAAGAACATGCATCCATAAAGTAAATAATGTTTTGTGACCCTAGTCATTAAATATTAGTACGAAAATAAATTAACTTAATTTTTTTATTTATTTATAGGAAGGGATTTCCAATTACATCAAACGTCTCTATTGAGACTCGAACCTATCACCTCCTACATAGAAGAGCAACATGATACTATTGGATTACAAGGTTGTTGGTAAAAATTGAAAAATCAATATATTGCTCCCGCTGAAAATCCAAATTGTAACTATGACCCAAAACTACTAATTTGGATGAAAAATAAGTTGAGTAAAACGTTGTTAATGGAATGATGGAAGAATATGAATAATGGTGTCTCCTTGCGTGTCAAAAAAGCGTAGTGGTGTAGAGCCGTAGAGGTTCAGATGAGTATGGTTAAGAGAGAGAAAGAAGAGATACTGTGGTATATTCTTTGTACGTGCACCTTTTATAACTAAAATCTAATTAGCTCATCAACCCAGAAGGCAAACAAATCCTCCATTAACGGACACTTTTTCTCCTGCACAAACGCCCACTGTGTGTGTGTGAGAGAGAGAGAGAGAGAGAGAGAGATTCTTATGCTGATAATGCAATGTTTTCAAGATTTGGGAATGGCTTGATGAAGGGGATTTGGGGAGGGTCTTGGCCACCCCTCTGAATTCCCCATATTCTTTCTTATATTCTTCCTTGCTGATCATCTCCGCAACCCCCCCCAAAAAAAAAAAAAAAAAAAAAAAAAAAAAGTGGGGAAAGTGAAGGAAATCGCCAGAAAGTCAAAGAATCTGCGAGAAAGTGGAGAGAAGGTTGGCGAGTTGGCTTGTTTTACTTTCCCAGCTTTTTAGCTACTTTATGGAGGCTTCTGGGCTGCCATGGTTTCTCTAAAGAGAAGCTTCTTCCACTTGAAATGATCATTTTCCTACTAGAGGTACTATGCTCACCTTGCTTTTAATTGTATATTACTGTTCACGTTCTACGGTTTCCATAGTATATTTGTGAATTTTTCATTTTTTTTCGGTGATTTTATTGTTTTGTAAATTATCATGTTCATATAATCTTATGTTATGTAAAAACATGTTCTTAGATTTTGAACCTTTGCTAGTTACTAGTGCAAAACACCAACTTTTTCTTGTTATATTGTCAATTTCCTTTTTTTGGTTTTTCCTTTTAAAGTGAATCCATTTATTGTTACCCAAAATGAATTTATTGGTTTTAATTCTTTTGGACTGCTCATAGTATCATGTTCATATGTTATGTAGAAACATGTTCTTGGATTTATTTTTTTGTTAGGAGAACAGGCCCTAACTGAAGGAGGCACCTTTAGCTCGTACCATACTCAGATTAATCCCCGTTCGCACTAGGCCGGCCCAATTAAGGGGCAAAGTGCTGGCTAGATTGGGTTTTCCATGTTCTTGGATTTGAACCTTTGTTTTTGTTACTTAGTAAGCCAAGCATATGAATAATGTCTAGCACTAATTTTCTTGCTTATATAGTTAAGGATATAAGAATTGGTATTTGACTTTCTCTATGTGAACTGTTTTACTTGAGTTTTGTTTGAACATGTTTGGCTATTTGCTTTGCATAAGTGTTACTTGAGTTTTGTTTGAAAATGTTTGGCTGCTTTGTTTGAACATGTTTGGCTGTTTGCTTTGATATGTGTTACTTGAGTTTTGTTTGAAAATGTTTGGCTGTTTGTTTTGCATATGTTTCTTAATTTGAACCTGCCTAAAAAAGAAAAGTTCTCTTAGAATAGTTCTACCATGAATAGTTCTATGAACTTTCTGTGATCCATATGTTGTTTAACCAAACTAACGTTTATGTAATTTACATTTCACAGGTTGTTTTTCACAAGCACCGTGCATGGTTTTAAGTAGCCCGAGCTGTTATTTGATACAGAGTATTTGAGAATAGAAGCGGTTATTCTGACAAATTGGCTTCGAACTACAGGATATCTCGAGTTAGTTAGCTACCAAGTTTGGTGCTTTCAGAAACTTGTTCCATTTTGAAGTTTGCTGGCCGGGTTGCTTGAGAAATGAAAATCTTTATGGCATTTAGAACATTTTAGGCAATGGAAACTGGCTCTTTTCTGGTTATCGAGACCTTAATCTGAGGCAAATACATCTCCTTTGGCAGCGGGTGAACCTGATTGCTTCATCGGTTTTTCTTAAGGGAAAACTGGGCAAATCTCCTTTGGCAAATGTTGAAAGTCCTCTAGTTGGATAGTTATCTTTTTGCGGTTCTTTTAGGTATTACATTCCCAGTTCAGCAAAGAATCGGGTCATTCAGCAGGGAACTCGGGCTTCAACTTCAAATTGTGTCAGGAAGAACTCAATTTGCATTTCATACCAGACTCATTTAAGCTGTGGGAAAGTTCCTTTAGCATTTTGGAGTCTTTAAGTAGATTCCATAAATACAAAAAAAAAAAAGTCTTTTGGGCAAATCTCCTTTGGCAATTTATCTCCAAAATTTGGGGACGCTATCTAGATCTCTGTTTCACAAGATCAGATCGATCTAGAAAGCAAATTATTTAAAAGCATATATATAATATATTATCTTGACCGTTTAGCAAAGTTGTGACAACATCTCTATCAATCAATTTGGAAAAGCTACAATCAAAAGACAAGGACCTTGAAGTTACACTTGTGGTATGTCTCTTACTTTAATCATAGTTTTTTTTATGAGAAATTGCATTTTTAGTCCCCAATTAATCTCCTCTAGTTATTTTAGTCCCTCACTTTTTGTCGTTTCAAACAAGTTGCAATTTAGTCCTTGGAGCAATAGAACCATTAAACTACATTCGGGTTTTTACTTAGTACATTGGTATTTTAGTAATTTATTATCTTTATTCTTTATAGCCTCTTCAAACTTGGTTTTTCATTTGCAAAATAGAGAATTGACAACCTTTTCCTACTAGTCTAGCATTAGTAATGAACTAACATGTTACTTGGCATTAAAATTGCAGGCTTTTTCACATTATGGATTTGAACTTGAGTGACATTGATAGTTTCAGTGAGAGCAGCAACTCTGAGGATCAGGATTATGCTGAACACCTATTTGGTGGAAATGCTTATTCCATTCTATCTAGCCTCGAGGAAAGCATCGAGAAAATCGATGATTTCCTCTCTTTCGAAAGGCTGTTTTCCCAAGGGGACATAGTTTGTTTAGTAAAGGATCCATCTGGTCAGACGGGAAGAGTTGTCAATGTTGATCTAGTTGTTGACTTGGAAAACGTTTGTGGACATAAAATCCGAGAAGTTAACTCCAAAAAGCTTCAAAAAATACGTTCAATGTCGGTGGGGGATCATGTAGTGTATGGACCATGGCTAGGAAAAATCGAAAAAGTAGTTGACAGGTTAACGGTCCTGTTCGATGATGGTGCTAAGTCTGAGTTCACGACAATGGGTCCCGAGAAGTTCACACCCGTTTCTCCAGACTTGCTTGAAGATCCTCAGTATCCTTTCTATCCAGGTCAAAGAGTGATGGTTCAGACTCAACGTGTTCCCGAATCGACCAAGTGGCTGTGTGGTGCAAGATATGATAAACGAGACCTCGGGACCATCTGCACTGTAGATGCTGGAGTTGTGTATGTCGAGTGGCTCGGTTGTGCAACGAATCACGACGAGAAGAAAGTATCTGCTCCTGCACATTTGCAGGATTCGAAAAATTTGACCTTGTTGTCGTGTTTTTCTGGTACAAAGTGGGAGATTGGTGATTGGTGCTTATTTCAGACGAGAAGCCAAGAGGTTCAAGAACTGGCAGTAATTATGAGGACAAAGGCGAAAGTCGATGTTCTGTGGCAGGATGGTAACATAACAGCGGGATTAAGTTCAGATTCTCTGTTCCCTGTAAATATCGTCGATGCCCATGACTTTTGGCCCGATCAGTTTGTGCTGGAAAAGGGAGTTTGCGATGATGACTCGAGCATTTCGAGTCTCCATAGATGGGGCGTAGTCAAATCCGTGGATGCAAAGGAGCGGACCGTGAAGGTGAAATGGAGTACTTTTCATGCCAACGAACTTAATTTTGATGTTGAAGAAACTGTGAGCGCTTACGAATTGATGGACCACCCGGACTTCCCGTACTGTGTTGGTGACGCTGTGTTTCGTAACAATCTCCCGTGCAATGATTACTCATCGAGCATTGGTATAATTGTTGGCTTCGAGGATGGAAAGGTTAAAGTGAAATGGGCTACTGGTGCTATAAGCATGGTACGTGTCCTCGTGTCTTAGACCATATCGATAATTTATCTGAAAGTTCGTTTCCTTACTTGCCTTTTATTGCAGGTTGCTCCATATGAGATCTACCATATAGATAAATCCAAAGATGCATCAACCACTATCATACCTTACGGTGAAAATCTTGAGCAATCAAATGTGGAAGTGAATTTGCATGGCGATCAATTTTCAAGAGACGAAGGAAAGGTAAATGTCACTCGCACTCTATATTTCGTCTCCTTACAGCAATACTCGTGATTCGTTCAAATGATAATGGAGTGTGATGATGGTCCATCTAAATATTTGATTTCTTGCCCTGGAAAATTGAAAAATGGACCAAATATTATTAGAATTTTGTTCAGGGGAGTGAATTTGGTAAAGCTTCTCTTGATTAGCGAGAAGTTTTATAATAGGTGTTGAGAGTCCCACATTGATAAAATAAGAGAGAATATATTGGTTTATAGCTAATTGATTGAATTCAATCTTTTAGTCTGGTTTGGCCCATGTGCATTATAGCCCAATCTTAGATTATAACAGTATGAAATTGCTTACCAGGATTCATTGGATTTTGATGGCAATGGTATAAGTTGCGAAGAGAAACCCTTGGCCTCGGGTTCCTGTTCCCTTTCCCAAGCTGCTATTAGACTTTTCTCGAGTATCGGTTCGAGTCTGTTCAGTTCCTTGAGTACATCCCTGTTTGGTGGATACCAGCATATATCCCAGGAGAAAAACCCAGAGATTCTCGATGAGGAAACTGTACTGCATTGCACTCTGGACACTGATCCTCCACCTCCAGCTGTTACAGACTCGAAGAAATCTGGAGAAGGAAATTCGGAGCAAGTGATGGAAGAAGCTGAGCTAAAAAACGGGGATGCACCCTCGACTAGTAGCAAGCTGCCAGAAAACTTCAGGCAGTTTGACATGGTTAACGATTGCTCAGACCACCATTTTGTCGATGGAACTGGAAAGGATGTACAGTCATCCCAGGTTTGAATATTAACAACTTAAAACATTTAGTATCTCCTAGTACGCTCAGTCTTTAATTCTATGTTACTTTACAGGTGAAAAGAGGTTGGATGAAGCGGGTCCAGCAAGAATGGAACATTTTGGAGCACGATCTTCCTGGTGAGAATTGAACCTTAACTTCTTGTTCTTATCTCATATGCCAAGAAATTTGAACTAAGGAGATAGATTTCATCGATATTATACTTGTCTCTGTCGAGCACATTCCTTTTAAGCAATTTTTCTTTAATCTAAACAGACACAATCTATGTGCGTGTCTATGAAGAGAGAATGGATTTGCTTCGTGCTGCTGTTGTTGGCGCTCCCGGAACCCCATATCACGATGGGTTGTTCTTCTTCGATATCTGCTTTCCTCCAGAGTATCCACACGAGCCACCTGTAAGTACATTATGATGGATCTCAACACTGCATTATGCTTACTGGGTTACCTATCCTGTGACTGCTGGAAGTCAAACACGCTTAACCACAGAGTTCTTTGGCTATTCGGTTGTCATATCCTACTTAAAACCAATTGGTCACCCATCCTGTGACTACTGGAAGTCAAGCACGCTTAACCACAGAGTTCTTTGGCTATCCGGTTGTGATATCCTACTTAAAACCAATTGGTGATAAGTAGGTGGACATTAACCATTTAACCACATCCCCATGCTAAGCCATAGCGCCACGTCTCGAATCGAGCAGGGGCTGAACTCGTCCATATTGCGTGTAAAGATTACTCATAGTTAGCATAATGGTTGGTATATTTGAGCTAAAGCATTTACGAGTTATGTGGAAATTGAACTTATATATGCAGATGGTCTACTACCATTCTGGTGGGCTTCGTGTGAATCCCAATTTGTACGAGTCTGGGAAGGTGTGCCTCAGTCTCTTGAATACGTGGACAGGCTCTGGGAACGAAGTTTGGAACCCGAAAAGTTCCACGATTTTACAAGTGCTCCTCTCGCTTCAAGCTCTCGTGCTGAACGAGAAGCCTTACTTCAACGAGGCAGGGTACGATACGCAGATTGGCAAAGCAGATGGCGAGAAGAACTCTGTCAGCTATAACGAGAACGCCTATCTGGTTACCTGCAAGTCCATGCTATACTTACTACGCAAACCACCCAAGGTAGAATAAAAAACTTCAAAACTTCACGTATTAGCCCGTTCTTGAAATCTAAACCATCCCAATAATGTTAATTGCTCTCGATAATATCTGCAGCATTTCGAAGCACTCATCGAAGAACACTTCAGCAAGCGGGGCGAGCATATTCTGTTGGCTTGCAAGGCCTATATGGGTGGGGCTCCTGTGGGTTCTGCATTATCCGGGCGCCTCAACTCTGATCAAGAACCGATCAAAGGAAGCTCTAAAGGATTCAAGATCATGCTTGCCAAGCTTTTCCCTCAACTCGTGGAGGCGTTTTCTGATAAAGGTATTGATTGCAGCCAATTCTTGAACCCCAGTGAGTGAATGAGAATCATACACCTCTGGGAAAAAAATCAATGATACCATATACAATACAATAAGAAGCAGCATAGTATCTGCTACTATGGTGTGATATTCTGTGTTAATATACTGTGTGTTGTGTAATAGTATTATTAGTGTCTGAGAAGGAAGGAGTGTGAAAATGTGTTGTATGCAGTTGTCTCTGTAATATATGATTGCTTTAAATAAGTGAATGAATAACATGTAGCTTTGTGTGGTAGGCTTAAAGACTTTTAAATATTTTGTGTTGAATTACAAAATGTCATGTGGGTCCTCCGAGTATAGTGATTTTGTCAGAGGTGATTAAAATTTGATAATTGAAGGATCACGAGTAGTTAAGTTGGACCATGAAGGATAACAATTTAAAAGTCGAAGGACCACGGATGGTCAATTTAAAAATTTAGAACTAAACATGACAAAATCACTATACTCAAAAGGACCCGAAATGTATTAACTCTTGATGGACCTATCCAAGTTTTTTGAAATATCAAATAAAAAATAATTTTTTTATGTTATTAAACACGAGCTTATAGGTCAGCGAATCATATAGCTCATGTATCAGCACGGGTTACTGGTTCTATACTTCTATATCTGTCCTGGGTTCGTGGTTTATTATACCACGGACCTGTGTTTGATCATATCTTTTCCTTTCAAAAAATACGAGCTTATTGGTTTGGGCTTATATGAGTACTTATGATAATTGCATTGTAGTGAGAAACTTGTTTAATTTAGCGGTTGCACAGAAATTGCACTGTGGTAAAAAACTTGTTTAATGAAATTATTGCATTGGTATGAGACAATTGTCTAAAGCAATAATGGTTGTACTACTCTGAGAAATTTGTCTAACGGAGTTGTTGCACTATTCATGAGAAACTTGTATAGTGGAGTGATTGCATTGTCCTGAGAAATTTAACGGAGCAATTTCACTGTTATGAGAAACTTGTTTAATGGAGCAGTTGCACTATTATGAGAAACTTGTTTAACAAAGCGGTTGCATGATGGTTGCGCTATCGTGAGAAACTTTTTTAACGTAGCGGTAACATGACAATTGTATCGCCTTAAAAAACTTGTTTAATGGAATGATTGCATTGGCGTGACAAAGTTGTCGAAAGCAACTGTTGCATTGGTGTGGGACAATTATTTAAAGTAACAGTTGCATTGGTGTGAGAAGACACCTGCATTGCATTGGCTTGAGACATGTTTAGAGCAACGGTTGCATTAGTATGAGACACCTTTCTAAAGTAATGGTTGTATTAGCACGAAACAACACTTTAAAGCAACAATTGCATTGACGTGGAACACCTATCTAAAGTAACAATTGCATATTTGCATCAATGTTAAACACCTATCTAAAGTAGTGGTTGCATTGGTATGATACACTTGTCTAAAGAAGGAGTTGTATATTTGTGAAAAGCTTTAATAGTATGTTGTGAGGAACTTTGTTAATTTATCGTGAGAAATTTTGTTAGTATTCTGTGAGAAACTTCGCAAATTTGTCATGAAAAACTTTGTCACAATCCACGCGATGAAAGGAAGAATTTTTGAGAAGAAGGGAAGTTTCAGAGAGATTAAACATTAGGAATTTCATTCAAAATATGCATAATTTTTACTGAGTATCTCTGAAAATTTAAAGGAAACAACCTAATAAGAAAAAGACAAAATTTTATAACAAACTAGGTAAATTCTGAATCACAAGCCACGTGCTATCTCCTCTGTTGATGATGTCACTAAGCTTAATATCAAAACGACATCGCAAGGTGTCCGAGTCATGACAAACTTTACCAGCTTGCCGTGAGGAATTTTGTCAGTTTTTCGTAAAAAACTTTGTCATTTTGCCTTGAGAAACCTTGCTAATTTGCCATGAGAAGTTTTGTTAATTTATTATAAGAGACTTTACTAGCTGTGAGAAATTTTGTTAACTTTCCAATGAGAAACTTTGCTAATTTTTTGTGAGAAACTTTGCTAATATACCATGTGAAGCTTTACTAGTTTGCCAAATTTTCCGGGAGATGCTTTGCCAAATTATTTTATGAAAAATTTTTTTATGAAGTTATATTAGACCAGAGATTCAGAGGTCTACCCAAGAATTTTCTATTTTTAGTAAATTATTTTGATAAAGATGTAGAGAAAGAGAGACGCGACCGGCGACCCCATATATAGCCTGTGAAATTCAGAATTCGAACAAAAATAAAATAAAAAAACCATTGTCGATGGAGAAGCACAGTACTGAAATTTCCAAATTCCCGAAATTACCAGTTGGTTTTCTTCTTCTCTTACTTGTCCTGACCTTCGCCGTCACCGGCGATGCTAAGCCGGAATCTTATCAGATCCTATACTCACAGCACTGCGACGGCGTCGTTCCGGCGGCGCACGTATCACCGGACGCCGCTGCCCCGGTTGCTGATCCATCTCATTGGCTCACCTTAAACAACGCCCACCTCTTCGACGGCGAGACGGATGGGAAATCTGGCCGGATTGTTCGGCCCAAAGTCCTGCATTTCGTCACCCGAAATGTCTACCGAACCCAAAAACACGGTATATACAAGCTCGAAGGCTCTGTAGAAATTAGTTTATCTTACAGAGCAGGGTTAACCCGCCGCGGTTTGCGGCTTGTCTATTTTCGGCCCCCGAGATTCCCGAGGAGAGTCTATCCGCAAAGTTTTCCGGTTACTGGCTTCTGGAACTCGGTCTCTGGGCAACTGTGTATGGTCAGCCCGGGTTCGAAGCCGTTCAGCTCTGGTCAGGTTGGTCTGAAGCTTAAGTATTTGAATTCTTCAAGCATTTTTGATAGTTTGGTTAATGGTAGCTTTTTAAGATTTGATGCAAGAAATGGAAGTGCTTATAGTAAGCCTGGGCAAATCTTAGGGTTTTCTTTGAGGAATTATAGGTACACTTTGATAGATGAAGAAGTGGAGAAAACTGGATTCAATGCCTATGATGGATTTGTTAATTCCTCGCTGGGATTTAGCAGCACTCAGGATGTGTGTTTGATTATCAGTAACGCGGTGCTGGATTTGGAATATTCAACAGACTGTAATGGTGTAAATTGTGACTTCCTTGGTGGAATTAGCTCGAATTCTACACCACATGTTATGTCTTTTAAAGAGATTGAGTGTTCAAAAGATGGGAGAGTGAGATATATGTTGCTTTTTAGTGATCAGAGGTATAACTATGTGGATTTCCCTTTCTTACAAAACGCGACATTGGTAGCTGAGGGTAAGTGGGAAGAGAGGAAAAAAAGACTTGACATGGTTGTTTGTCGGATTTTGAATGGTAGCCATGTGTCTAGTGAGGGTTCGGTTGGGGATTGTACAATTAAGCTTAGCTTGAGATTGCCATCACGATGGACATTGAGGGAGAGGAGTGTTGTTGTTGGAAACATGTGGAGTACCAAAAGCTCTAACGAGTTGGGGTACTTTAAGAATGTGGTCTTTCGAAGTATGAGAAATAGGTACAATAGGCCAGATAATGTGGTTTATGAGTATACAGAGATTGAGAAAGCCAGGAGGTCATGTGCAAACAAAATGATAAGCAAAGGCAAGGAAGCGAAATATCCTGAGGCACACTCATCTGACATGAGGTTTAACACAATTTTGAGAAACAAAAAAGGGGTTGAAGTGTTGGCATATTCGTCTCCTATGGCTGTGGGTGAAACTTTTTTTAAGTTTGCAGAAGTACGTTCAGGAACAGATGAGCCTACTGCCCTTGGGAAGGACAGTCATAGCAGAGTTTTTAACATCAGCTATGTGTTGAGCATTAAGACTCCAGATGATTTTGTGCTTGGTGGTAAACATCGACATATCAAGTCTCTAGAAATTTCTGCTGAAGGTTTGTATGATTCTAAAACTGGGCATCTTTGCATGATTGGATGTATGCATTCTGCACCAAATAATGGGAGTTTAGAAGAAAGATCTTTGGACTGTGAAGTACAAGTTGATGTTCAGTATCCACCATTGAATGCAAAAGCTGGCACTAGGGTAAGAGGAACCATTGAGAGCTTGCGGGTGAAATCTGACTCTCTTTACTTTGAGCCTCTTGAGATTTTCTCAAATTCCCTTTATGCTGGTCAAGCCCGAGAATCCATATGGAGAATGGATCTGGAAATGACATTGGTCCTGATTTCCAACACACTTGCATGTGTCTTTGTTGGTCTGCAGCTATTTTATGTGAAAAAGTATCCAAATGTGCTTCCATCCATTTCTGTCATCATGCTGTTTTTACTTACTCTTGCACACATGATTCCACTGTTGTTGAACTTTGAAGCGCTATTTTTGACAAACCGCAACAAACAGAATGTTTACTTGGGTGGTGGTGGATGGCTTGAAGTGAACGAGGTGTTAGTAAGAGTAATTACAATGGTAGCCTTCTTGTTGGAGTTTCGTCTCCTCCAATTGACATGGTCTGCCAGAGCGGGTGATGAAAATCAGAAAAGCTTCTGGACAGCTGATAAGAAAGTTCTGTTTTTGTCCTTGCCTCTCTATGTTCTTGGTGGATTAATTGCATGGTTCGTCCATCTATCAAGGAAACCTTATCAAAGACGGTTTGCCCTGCTGCACCGCTTCCGTAGGCAGCAACAACAGAACCTATGGGGGGACCTTAAATCTTATGGCGGTCTGATATTGGATGGGTTTCTTCTCCCTCAAATTCTGTTCAACTTATTCTGTGACACCAGTGAAAAGGCTCTCGCCCCTTCTTTTTATCTGGGAAGCACTCTTGTTCGCTTATTGCCACATGTATATGATCTTTACAGGGCACACAGTTCTACCTGGACATTCGATTACATATATGCAAACCCAAAACTGGATTACTATTCCACTTCCTGGGACATCATCATTTGCTGCGGGGGTCTGCTGTTTGTTTCTCTCATTTTCTTGCAGCAACGCTTTGGAGGGCGGTGCTTTCTTCCAAGGAGATTCAGAGAGCGCTCCATGTACGAAAAGGTACCAATGGCTATCAATCTCTCCGATAAATCAGTCAGATCTTAACCCATTTTCCTTTCATAATACCTTTTTACATCTCACTTGATCTTTACTGTAAACTTGAAAATTTAGAACATTTATAATCTTTAAAGAGCTTGATGTCTTGCTATGACTTAAAAGTTCAAAGGTTGTACAGAGAAAACAGCCATCTTATGTTGGCCTGTAATCATCTGAATATAGTAAATGCTTTCACAGTAGAACTCTTCTGTCTTGTTGGAAAACATTCATTTGAACCCTAATATTGTATATAATATATTAA